GAGAGGGGGGGGGGGGGGTCATGTTTGGCATGCTTTGATAGTTAGGCCATTCGTCACGCGTCCTCGAGAGGACGGATCATTGTTCCCACCGAAACGATCACCGATGGCCAATTGTTCCTTCCCACTGGGGGGGAGTACGCCGGGGGGTCGTTGTCGATGGGGATTCGACAAGGGAGTGGTGTTTGCGTACTCAAGCAGCCCAAGACGATTCCCAAAACATTTAACACAAAACACAAACCAGAGGAGGCATACACACCATGAGAATACGTGACAGAAGCCGGATAATCAACGAAGAAAACATGCGGGTACGTCGATTCTACAAGAGTTGGGTATCTGATCATAACGCCACCGAGTGACCCAGCCGGGGGGACACTCAAGCCGCAACACCACCACTGCTGCAGCCGCTGCCAGGGCTACCACTTCGCGAAGGCTTCACTCCCAGCAGTAGTAGCGCCACACATGGACCTCGCATGCGTGCAGCAGTGCAACTCTTCCGGGGTTGCAGAGCATTGGTTCTGCTGTGTACCAAAGGGGTTCGTAACGGGGCATTGTGAGAGGGAATTTTTCGGGACTCGAAGCTTGCCTTAAAGATCTCCATCTTGCCGGTCTGAGTGACGGTTCCGACGATCTCGGTCTTCCCGAACCGGTTCTCCCCGAAGCCGTAGACATTGTAGCCGTGGTTGCTGTGCCCGCGGAAAGTCAGCGTGAAGCTCTCGTTCACGCTGGGGGGACGCAAACAAACAAAGCAGCAAACAGTCGAGAGGGCAGCATTGTTCGTTGTTGTTGCTGCTGATGCTGTTGGTGTTGCTATTGTACAATCATGTTGATGGTGGTGCTATCGAGTTGCCAAAAAACAAGTATTGGGAGCGGCGCAACCACGAAGTCTCCTCTATATCTCCCCACACCGCTTATACAGTGGCGAAGTGTTGGTCTGGAATCTCCGTTTTGCAAGTTAGTTTCACGTCCCCTCCAAAGAGACGAATTGGTTTCGTTTTCCACAAGAACGGGAAGAAATTCGCACAGGAATGGCAGCGAGAAACAACAAAAGTGGAAACGAGCCTGTAAAGCACTACGCGATAAACAAACAGCATCGTGGGACATTCAAGGCGAAACAAACACGCGTGCAAGGTACTGGGTAGAGGGATCGGATCGTTCCTAAAGTGAAGACAACAAAAACAACAACAACAAGCACTTACGTCTCGGTCTGGAAGCCGGTGGTGAGCTTGAAATAGCCCAGGTAGTTTCCGGGGTAGACAGGCAGTCCCAGCTCCTGTTCCTTGACCGACTCCATCCTGACTACCTTAAAGTCGTTCGTGTGACCGCTCTTGTTCACGTCGGCGTGCGTCATACCCCAGATGCCCTGTAACGCCATGCCAAGAGGAGAGAAACATCCGGCAACAGACGTAAAACTGGACAGTCCCGGGGGCTTGGCAATACACAACAATGGCTCGTGCGTGTAATAACAATTGTTTTCATTGATTTACGCCTATTGAATAGATTACGGGCGGGATGTGAGGGACACGGCATTTTCGTCGGGTCTCGAGGGCGTGGCGATGCCAGGTGCCTTCAAGGCAGTAGCAGCAGATCGGATCGAACCAGACAACCTAAGAGTCAATGACGTCACAAGAATCGCGTCAAAGCAGTGCGAATTCTAATGGGGGCGGGGTGTTGCAATCTTAATGGACCAGTCTCAGGGTAGACACGTCGTTCCCTTATCGAGAACCCATTTTCTCGGTCTTGTCGTGTCTTGCTCTTTCTTGTCTATTCTCATTTTCCCAGGAAATAGCACAGCGAATCCATCTTTCTCCACATGTGAGACCCCAGCACGAATCACGAATTAGCAATGAATTCATGGGGTTAACGGAGGCCCTACTGCTGTTACCTGTCTTTCTACGGTTCCCCGGGCAGCATACAGTCCTCCATCTCTCTCTCCACAGATAACGAGTCCAGCACGAATCATGAAATACCAAAAATTCATGGGGTTAGTGGAGGCCCTACTCTGTTACCTGTCTTTCTACGGTTCCCCGGGCAGCATGCAGGCATCAATCTCTCTCCACAGATGAGAGTCCAGCACGAATCAAAGGCACTACTGCTAACTGTGTTTCTACGACTCCCCGAGCAGCATACAGGCAGTGTTAGCTGTCTTCTTTCTCACCTGGAACGTCGGCTTGTTTGACGCGTCCACGTAGATCTTCCCCTTCATCATGGGCCTCTGCATGGGCGTTGGATGCAACGGAGTCTCCATGCTACCAGATCCTGGCCTCCGCACTTGACTGCTGGGTTTCTCTCTTGCGAGCTTGTCTTCTTCTGCCGCGCTAGCCTTGACGACTTGCGTTCTCTTTATTGCAGATTTGGTGATTCTCCTTTCTTCCTGGAATCAAACGTGTAGTGTGCGTAGAGCGAGCCGGCGGCCGACCGTGTCACTAGGGCAGATACAGATCATCGCTGAGAATCCCCGTCCGAATATTTTTGTTCTCTTTACAACGATGGACACTGCAAGACTGATGTAACTGACCTCTTTCATTGGTCAGCCGGTTAGTACAGGGCGATCGATGCTTACGAAAAGAAACATGCACACACACACTCACGGACTACTGATCGACCAATTCCCACTACGGCCAATAGGTTGGGTTTCAGTAGTAATTCTGGTGAAAGCGATAAACGATGGTATTGAGGGTAATTCTCTTGGGAGTGACAGAGATGAAGGAAATGGAGAAAGAAAGAATAACGAAGGCGAGGATGGAGGAGGCAAACATGGCGTGGAAGAGAGCGAAGGGTTTGAGCCAGATGACCATCCTCACAACAAACGCCGCAGGACTGGAGAGGGCCTACCAAAAAGTAGTGGGAATACTGGCGACAAGAAGTGGCGGCAGAATATACAGCAGGGAAGACGATGAAAGCAATCCAAAACGAAAGCGCATCAAGAAGTAGTAGGAACCATAGTAAACATGTGCAGTTTTCTTCTGTTTATTGATACGGTGTCTGTCTTTAATTCGGAGAGTAGCGTAGACTCCCCCATGACGCTCGGTTACAGGGTCCCAGATCGTGGCCTTTCGAAGCATTTTGTGTTTTCCACCGCACTGAGACTGACGTATTTTCATTGGTCAGCCGGTTAGTGCGGTCGATGCGAATAAGAAAGGCACACACGAGTGGGGTGGGGTGACGGATACACCACTAGGGTTTGGCTACCAAGCTAAAAACCACCGTTTCCTCAGGTTGCCGTTTGAGAGGCTTACACCATAAACATTAGCAAGCAGGGGTTTGTCCATGCCTGACACCTGCGGGTGGTGTTCGGCGCGGGGACACAACATTTGAACAGATCATGGATACAATGTTTGATACACTAGCACTGTAGACTATAGACTATACTGTAAGTACCTGGTGAGTAAAGAGTTCTGCACCATCCGCTAGAGAGGGTTCTCTCCCTCTCTCTCTCTCTCTCTCTCCTTCACTTGAATGACATGCGCTATTCTGTACAAATATATTCGAGAAAAAATGAAAGGCCAGAAAACACAAGGGCTATCGCATATATCAAGGCTTGGGGCCTTCATGTGCATGCATTAATCCCTAACTCAACGCTTGTATAGTTCAAAAATGACAAACAATACATGGGGGAAGTTGAACACGAGTGAGCATAACCTGCTGTAGGTGGACTGCCGCATGAGACCAAAACAACAAAATGCATGTTTGTAGGAGTTGATGAAGAGGGACGCCGCAACAAACTCGTTGGTTGATGCTCAAGGGGCAGGGAGAGAGGGCGGCAAAAAGCGAAGCACACACACACACAGTATCCCCTGATGCACAGACACAGCAGTAAGAGGAACAGGGCAGCCGCCTTGTGGCTTTCAACTTCGTTTGTTTAAAATCTACACACCAGTGCTGCTTTTAGTCGCGGCTTCCATTTTTTTATGCCGGTCCCTGCTTTGTTCTGCAAAGCGATGTCAAGGTCTTCGTTCGGATGGGCCTGTACCACACCCGTTGGCCGTTTCGGGCCGGGAAGGCCATTAGGTATTACACACGGCAGCAGGATGGCCGGTACCAGCAGTGTCCAAATGGACAACGGCTGTGTTTTTTGGAGTGCCTGAGGAATCCTTGCGGAGCAAACGAAGTACTGCGGTACATAACACAGGTGTGTGCACACAAGCCACGTTTTCAAACACCGATTTTAGGTCTTTTCTCGCCAGAGGGTACTGTAACAACAAACGCTATACACACCACCAATCGAGAAGGGAGTGTGGAAAGCGCTGACACGTCCGCTACCCCCACCGCAACAAAGGAAAGCGAGAGCAGAAGGCTGGGAGCATCACCGATCAGACGCTCATCTCACGTCCCCGTGACGTTGGCAGACAGAGAGGAGAGACGCACGGGTCAGTCACTCGTCAACAACCATCACCGGAAGCCATGCGCCCGCGGCTCACCTTCGTGCCCGTGGCAGTAAGAAATCAGCGAGCCCTTGTATCAGGTGTCTATTCTTCTATACCAGGTCTCCCACTATTGGTTGATCCGGTGAACCGAGGCACACGGCAGTGATGAGAGTGTGGAGGGAGGCGCTGTGGAGCTTGGAAGCCTTGGAGGGAGGCACCGGGGTCTCCGCAGTTGATATTTGCGTATACCCTAATTTCCTCTATTTGCACCCCCCCCCATGGTTCCGGGGGCTGTGTGCTGCCTGTGTCACGGACAGCTTTCCCGCGGAACCGTACGCGCCTTAAGCTGGTTGCCGTCAACAAGGACGCATCATCCGGGCTGGGCTGTCGAATCAAAGCGGGAGCAGCTACCCAAGGCGAGAGACACCCCGTCACGCTCGAGCGAGCACACCTTGACGAGGAAGGGACATCGGAAGGTTTTTGCGGAATCGAAGAACAAAGGGAGCGAGGCAACGTAGGAGAGGGGCGAAGAAAAAAGCGAGGGGGAGAGCCAAGTCTAGGATGGGCGGAATCGACTGCTGTGAGTACAGGGCTATGATTGAGGAGGAAGTGCCGTCAGCAATGGATTACCACACCGCCCGCATCTGCTATGCTGTCATTGCTCTGCGCAGGGTAGCATTTGATTGTGCCGCCTCTGTTGCCGTTCGGCGATCAACACCCTTCGCTACCGCACGAGAGGAGACTATGTTACTAACACCGAGTACCTCCCTCTGAGTCGTGTGTCGACATGTCACCTGTGGCAGCAGGAGCAGCAAGCCGTGGTGGCGCGTTTTTTTTCCATTGAGATATGTAGGCCTTTCTCCACAGCAATGTCACGGCTTTGTTTCGAGCCTCTAACGAGGTCTGTCGCACGACTCAGGGCACACGCGAGAGGGTTGGCGCAACATTCGGGTATTTGCGTGACGCCTGTGCACTAGCGGCGTGGGTGCTCATTCATGATTGATTTTGCAGACGGAGCCGCGAACTCATTTTTCACAGCGGTGCCCCTCCCCCCGTCGCAACCAATACTCTCCGTGTCTTGGAAAATTCCAGCGTGAAGTTCGAAAACCTCCCGTCATGTGTGGGCACTCTGTAGCTCGTGTGTTCCGAACAGGCGTGTCCATGCCCTCGCCACACAGCTGCAGTATAGCAGAGGAAACGCTACCAACATTGTCAGACTTGTAGTATGTAGACCTATGCATGCAGGCTTTTTACAGCCTTTTGCGCCAAAACATGCACGAGTTCTAAATACAGCATCACACAAAAGAGGTTTGCCGAAGCAGCGGTGTGTTGCGGAGCTGTTTGAGCTTTTCGATACTCGGACGGTTGCGGCACTACCGTGTGCTCGTCGAAGATCACCTGGCACATTCACCAAGACCACGAAACAATCGATGAAAGCAAATTCACAGCGGGGTATACTCAAGCACTCCTTTAAATTCAAATGTCTCATGACAACACACGGATTGCTCTACCACATCCCCCATGCTGGACCGTGAGATTCGCAGCATTCAGTCAGTGAGGTTTGCTGCCAGTTTTTACCAGACGCCTCCTTAGGTAGGAAAACTGTGCTGACCATATCAAGCTGGTCGCCCAAGCTCGAAAATAAAACCCTCCCAATAATCCATGTCCTGCTATCTAGCCAAGCACACGCTATGCTCGGCGTTGTTTTGGTTTTCGGGCAATAATCCATGTCCTGCTATCTAGCCAAGCACTCGCTATGCTCGGCAATGTTTTGGTTCTCGGGGTCTCGCTTGGTTCTGTGGTTTTCAGAGGGTCTTGTGGTGATGATCGCTCAAACCCTGTACTGTTGATGGCAGAGAAGAGGGGCTCGCGAAACATTGGATCAGCGGCCATCCGCGTGCATCCGCGCATTCCCCCGCCTGTGGGACCAAAAATGTCGTCCCGGACGCACTCAAGTATCTCCCACGCCAGGCAATTCTGGCCCTCCCGAGTTCACGGCCAACAATCATAGGCCTTACATTTCTCGGCCTCTTTCGGATACAGCAGAACATGTGCCGGTCCACGAAGTTTCAGACACAACGTAACTACGTCGCACGTAGATGTTTTTTTAGGCCCGAGATGTCTTTTGAATGTGTCCGTTACTTCCCGCGTCCAGTTTGCGAGCGCTCTCGGCCATTATTGTCGGCAGATTGTGTCTCTTTCGACAACGCGATGTTTCTAGAAAACAGAGATACATGTACAGTCACAGACCGACTGCCCTTTTGAGACACATCCACAGCAGTGAAAGGGTCTTGAATGAAGTCTTTGCAGCGAGTGGGAAGAAAACAACTCGACGTTTCGTTCAACCTCTCTCTGTACTCGTTCGCCGATAGAAGGAGCGACGAGACCCCCGCTACATCGCAGACAAGTCAGCGCATGGTAGTGCAAAAAAAAAAGAATCACAAGTCAACATGAACCATGGTATCAACAACAGCTATCATATTACATGGCAGAAATCAGCATGAACTTTGACAACAGCAATCATAAGCAGCTACGGCAACACGAGTGCAACCCCCTACAGGTGTTGCTCAACTTCTAACTAACCACCATTGCCACCACCCCGCCTGTTTTCAGGCGCGAGGGTATGTATCGGGTTGTCCATCCCGGGCATCATTTTCCTCATCATTATCGGTATCATGTTCGACAAGCAGGGCTTCTATACCTCGGTAGAGGTCGACGATCCCACTGCGGCGGCGTCTGAGTGTTATTTTGCAGGTGAGATGGAAGGAGGGATGTTGGATCTTGTGCGTCGAAGAGTTTTGCCGCGGCCCTCTCTCTGACTGTAAACTGACAGACGGAAGGGATATTCTGTGTCGAAGAGTTTTGCCGCGGCCCCTCTCTTCTGACTGTAAACTGACAGACGGAAGGGATATTCTGTGGCGAAGAGTTTCGCCACAGCCCCTCTCTTCTGACTGTAAACTGACAGACGGAAGTAGGGATGTTTTGTGTCGAAGAGTTTTGTCGCGGCCCCTGTCTTCTGACGTCAACTGACAGACGGAAGGGATATTCTGTGGCGAAGAGTTTTGCCACAGCCCCTCTCTTCTGACTGTAAACTGACAGACGGAAGGGATATTCTGTGGCGAAGAGTTTCGCCACAGCCCCTCTCTTCTGACTGTAAACTGACAGACGGAAGTAGGGATGTTTTGTGTCGAAGAACTTTGGGTTAGGGTTACGGTTACGGTTAGAATTTTGCCACGGCGCTTCTCCTCTGGCTGAAGACTGGCACACGGAAGGAGGGATGTCTTGTGCCAAAGACTTCCAAGAATTGCGCATGACCCCTCTCTGCTCTGACCGTGAACTGCCACAGAAAAATCCCTATGCATCCCACCCCCACGAGTTGCTGCTGCTGTTGCTGCTGCTGCCATCGAATACTAGATAAGAGGCTCATCCGCTTTCCTTCTTGACGTGGGCACTGGGGTGATGGCCCTGCCTTTCAAGTTCGGGGGCTTCTTTGCCTCTCCGAGCAACGAGTTGGTGATGTAGTGCTTAGGTGCTTCGTCAGCATACATGACGAGCTGTTGGCTTGGTTTGATGACGGCCTCCCATCTTCCGACCTCTCTTTCTCTCTCTCTCTCGCCCTGTGTCTCTCTCTCTTTCCCCCTGTCTGTCTGTCTGTCTGTCTGTCTGTCTGTCTGTCTGTCTGTCTGTCTGTCTGTCTGTCTCTCTCTCTCTCTCTCTCTCTCTCTCTCTCTCTGGATCTCTTGTCTGTCTCTGTGTGTATCAGCGTTGCTGTACGTTGTTGCGATCGGGGTCTCACTCGGGGGCATTTGCTACGACAAGAACCGGCGAGGGATGTTGGTGACGACACAGGTGCGGCAATAGACCCTTTCTCTCCGCGCCGGTTTTTGAGTTGTTGTTGATTGCTGCTATCCTCCCGGTGAAAGGGGGGCAACTCGCCCCACATTGGCACCCGTAGAAGAAAAACGGACGCCCAAGAAGACGCACGCTGTATCTAACGTCCGTATCGGTGTTGATGGTGTGGTTGTGGTGCTTGTTGTTGTAGTTTTCAGTCTATCTATCGCCTATTGGGGATTTTAAGCCACGTACATCTCTGGGGATGCGTTCACGCTCGCTGTTCCAATTTTTTTTTTTTGTGTTTCATGTGTTCCGAGTCTTGTTGGTGTGCTCATTTTCCCAAATGTAGATCCCAGTGCATCACGACCTGCCAGGTATGCATAGCATCGTTTGTTGAAAAGAAATTCGTGTAGGGAACAGGTGACGGCTGCGGGAATCACTCAAGGTATCAGTGTGTACCAAGTACGAGGATTCTTGCTCTACCATCCGCCGATTTTTGCTGTTGTTGTTGTCGACGACACATATCCCGGCTCGCCGCGTCCACCAACGGTTGCTTTCCCAGTGCTGCTGTTCTACTCGTGACAGTTGTCGCAGAAATGCCATCTTCTGTTCTTCGCCGACCCTCCTCTTTCCCCTTGCCCCGCGTGTGTTGTGCTCTCGTACACAGGAGGAGCTCGCTCATGGAGACGAGAGCTCAGGGCTTCTGGGAAGGGAGGACTCCGGTTACGGGTCGTTGACTTACCTTTCGCAGATGCCCTTGATGCCGCAGGGCTACTCCCGAAGCGACAACTACGTAGATGGATGAGCGTACAGTAGTAGTAGACGCAGACAGCAGGTTCGGTTTGTATTCGCAGGAGTTAGACATGCGATGCGTTCTTTTTTTTTTTGGTTCGCCGGGCGTTGAGATGCAGGTGCGGCTTCTTACTCCCTACTGCTCCTTGGTTGCTTTGTCTTGTGAGGTCGACGCGTCAAGTGCAGAGGCTTGTACTTAAACCTCTTGGTAGTGTTGCGGCGCAGGAGTTTCTGCGTGAACTCAGCAGAAGGGATCGCCTTGAGAGGTGGCCGGCCTCCCGCGTTAGAGAGTCGTGCGTTAATACCCTTTCAATATATAACTGCCGTTACCATTCTTGGACTTGCTGCCAGGCAACCAAGGAGATGTGTTATTGGCCGTCTCTTTGCCGCGATAAAACATCCTGAATGGGCAGGAACGGCCTTAACCCCTGGCTTCGAGTTAATTCGCGACGTAAGCGTCTCTTGCTTTGTGGGAACCAACCGGCAACGGCTGCTACTGATGTTGCTTGTCTGGCGTCCAAGCCGCGGACCGATCCTCGGAACGTGCGCGACGGGCCAAGAGAGCTAGGTGCCTTCGCTGCTAGGCCTCGGGTCGGTCGTAGTGCGGCTCTCTTTTCATTTGTGGTGCTCTTTTTTTTGGTGTTCGCGGGGACCAATCTGGGACTCTCTCGATCTTTTTTCAGCATTTTTTCCTTCGTTTATGGGTAGGTCATGCCTTTGGGGATTTCCGACCCCCATTACTAGATTGATGTATCGTCGCCCAAGCGCACCAGCGGCGATTGGCGTATGTTTCCAGAATGGACCCTTTCGGTGATCATCTGCGTTGATTCTGGCAGCCAGTCACTGGCGTGATAACCTATACTTGTTGCCTTGACGATTTTGTACTTGATTTTCCGGTCTCGTTAGCAGTGGCTAGGGTGGTTAGCAGCTGGGCCACAAGGCAATGGGATAGGACGCAACTACAATGAATGAGTTTCGTTTTGTTGTGTCGAGGAGCGCGTCGCGGCAACTGCTATGATTTTGTTTGGCATGGTTGTCTTGCGTTTCATCTCTAAACCCCCTCGATGTCGTCGCAATTTTTTTTTTATGTGTGGGTGGCTTGGTCCTACCTATCTTGTCGTAGCGTGTTGCCCGTGGCTTGGCCGTCTCGCTCGGCTGACTGTCGGTGATGCTCACACGGGACAATAACGACCACCATGGAGGTGTCAAGCTGCTGCTATGTTTCACGTACGTACGTCATGCCTGAGTTCATCTCCAACATACGCATAGCTGCTGTGTCGTTTGGGCGGGCACATGCAGCTGTGCTGGAGAAGCCGTAATGCATCAATTGAACATCGACTGAGGGAACCTGAGGGCGTCATGGGGTGAGATGTCAGATACGACTTGTTCCAAGTATTTGTCCACTTCATCTTGCTCGACCGCCTGCCCCCCCCCCCCCTCCAAAGCAACCCACGAGCGGACCTCATCACTCAATATCGCATCTTTACCTCGGCAGTCCAATAGGCAGCCATGTTGCGATGCTGGACACCCCAGGTGTACCAATATGGCATCTAACCTCGAACCTCTCTTTGGTAAACAATAATATTAGTTCCCCCTACAACACCGGCCGCGGGTGGTGCGTAAATTGGAGCAGTCGCCGTAACTGGACTAAATCGTCCAAAAACAGTACATTCTAGGCTCTTGGGGGGGGGGTGACTAATAGTCTAGCGCCAGCGGTAACATGAATCTGACTAGACTACAGTAGCCTACAGCAGTAACAGCCGCAGATCCTCGTGCTGATATTTATTTGTACTGATGATTTTGGACATTAATGTTCCACACCGCATGACGTTGATGTTGCATGCGTGGATGTGGTGGTGTCGTCCTTCTGTTGGACGCGGTGGAGCTGTGGAGCGGTGTGGCAGGTTAGGACAAACACTATGACATTAGGAAAACTAATTACACACACAGAAAGTACCCGTTCGAGATGACATATTATACATTTCGAGTCTTTGCGTTAGTTACTGGTTAGGACTGGTAGATACGTAATAGGATCGGGGGCTCCGGTATTTTTTCGAGGGGGGGGCGCCACTCGGATAGATGAATCCAGGCGTGCCACCACCCCAACACATTTATCTCCGGGCAGTTTCCAAATTGGTGTAGCCAGCCTTCCCAGAGACCGGAGACAAAGGTCTTTCTTGCATCTACCTTGTCCGCAAAGGATGAGCGAAGAGGCACCGCCAGCAATGGTGGCAGCTGACGGGGAAAAAGCGGCAGATGAGGCCACCCCGGCTATAGAGCTATCAGCAGCAAGTGATGCAGCAACAAAATCTGCACAACAGCAGCAGCAAGATGTAGTAGATGGAGATCACGAAACAGGAACAGCAACAGCCGCCGCAGTAGTGGCAGCAACGAAGGGTGTGGAGTACAGTCATCAACCCGATGAAGTGACCGCCGCCGCCGCCGCCGCCGTCGCTGAGAAAGAAGTAGCTGTAGAGATAGCTCCTGCTTCAGAACCAGCAGCAAGTCGGAAGCGCAAGGCAGAGGAGGAGGTTCCGAAGGCCGCAGCCGCCCCACCGGCAGGGAAAGCAGCAGCAGCAGGAGCAGGGACTACTACCTCTTTGCTCGTTTCGGTTACGATTGAGGACCTGGCACCTGCAGTCAGAACAAGGCTCGACGACGTGCTGCAAGACGGGGAGGACGACGAGATGCGCCAGGACACCAGGCTCGTTAACTTCTTGGGGGAGGTCGACGAAGCTCAGGTCAGTGGGTATTTATCTGCGCAAGTTTTTTTCATTCACAGAGTAAATTTGTTCGTGGAAATCGGGCGGGGCTGCTTTTCATTTCCACGCGTGTGTGTCGGGGGTACTCTGTACGTTGTCTACGGCTGTTGTGCAGAGCAACGTGTGCAAATGAGCCATTGAAGGTGTCGTCATCTCGCCGCAGTATCCCCACCAGTGAAGTTAGTTTTTCCTTCTCCTCGCCAATCCCCCGCCCTTGAAGGTTCTCGGCGTGCCCTGCATGATAAGGAGACGTGTTCGTCGGCAAACCAACATGCAACCATGAACAACTTCCCTGCTCGGCAGTCCTGAATTTTCGAAAATTATTGTGGTATGCATTTTTGATGCCAGTAGCATGTGTAAATCCGGCCGGACGGTTGCTGTAACCCCCGCGCCGTTCGGGAGCCACGGCGCCGCCTCTGCTGGTGCCGTGGTGGTTAGGCCTGTGTTGTCTTGCCTTCTTGTGTTGAATCGTTTTAATAGTCATTGACGAATCGGTACCTGTGACATGTTCCTATGTTCCTGTATCCGGACAGCAGTATTTGTGTTGGACCGTGGTGGCAGTAGCGGCGAGGGGCAAGCGAGTAAGAGGGGGTCCCTTCCCTTTCCTCTCCGCTCGTCGATGTGCGTACATACATGTAGTTCGCGGATGGATGGCAGTCTGGCCCCAACTTACTGCTGCAGGGTGATAGGGTGATTCATGCACCCAATATCAGTAATAAGTGCGAGGCATCTATGGTGCGGCCTCACCCTTGAGCATCTTAATTTAGCAACCATACAGTATAATTGTTCGACTGTGGGTTATCTCGAATGGGTAGTCTTTCTGTGTGTGTTGCATTTATTTTTCCTTTTTGAGTTCTGTCCATGAACTTCAACTGCTGGCGGTACCAAAACGATTGCAGCCGTGTTTTTGCTGACCACCACGAGTTTTGGAAACCGAGACGTGGTTGTACGTTGTACAGGCATGTGACGGGTAAACGGGGAAGAGCGGATGAATGTACAATATGTAGTACACAAGTGCGGACACCTTTTGGCCGATTATTACACGCAAGAGTCAGGTTTGAGTCCCCATTTTTACGACAACATTTTTTCTCTCTCCGTTGTCGGGCGAAACTCCCCCCGAGACAAAGCATGATGCCGTTGTTGGTCTTGTTGAAGTAGAGCGGGGAGTGGCATTTTTGTGACTCGAACCATGACGTCATTTCTGTTTCGGCCGGCTCGGCCACCAGGCCCTGGCGGCTCTAAACGAGTACCATGCGGCGGTCTCCGAGACCAGCGTCAACATCAGGAACAAGCCCGCATACCTCATGGGGATCTTGCGCAAGTACAAACAGGGCCAGCGGGCGCCTCTGGGGAACGGCACCGCCGGGGGGATGGTAACGACGCCAAACGCCATGGGGCGCATGGGGGTGAGTGAATATTGCAAGTGAGAGGGGACGAAACAGGAAGACAGGCTGGTAGGCAGGCACACACACAAGTAGGTTGGCGTGGTGGTGTTGCTGGCAGCCAACGGCCGGTGGGTTGGGGGCGGAGGGGTTGCGGTACTTGTGTAACGCTCTGGCACCGGTGACCAACAACGCCGCTGAGCCCAGCAGACGTGCGTATACAGATGAGTACACAGTACACACGTCGGTCCGGGTTGGGATGGGGAAGCTTTTGGTTTGAGGTCTGCTGCATCAGCCATCCACCGCCATTGCTGCTGTGGATACGTTGTCGGGTGGCACACCCACCGACCGTTGTTGGATTGCCGATAGACCAAGCAATATCGGGTATGTATCGTGTTCTTTTGGATCTTTAGGTTGCGACGCTTGTACCTGGTTGGGGGTAAGGTTAAGGTAACACACGAACGTGGTGATTCCCAGAATCCGTACAAGGCGCCTTGATGGACACGGGAGTATTTCTTGCACAGCCCAGTCTTATGTACGTTGGTGCGTTTTGTGCTAGGGCCGCTAAACAACGGGGCTTTTTGGACACGCAGCCAGGGCAGCCAAATTCTTGACCTGGTGGCTGCTAGTGCTGCTGTTGTTTATACGCACTCACGCTGCCCTTATTCTATTCCAGTGCGTCCGTCGGTCCACGAAAAATGAGCTCGTTACGTCTCATCAGCCTGATGTTTGTGTGTCCTAACGTCCTAACACAACGGACCCATCTCATATCCACAGATACAGAGACCAGGATACATTTGTTTTTTTTACACAGAACGTTGGTGTCAACATCGTTCCGTCCAGAACATCCCGTGAAGTTGAAACCCTTGAGGTCTGCATATCCGAGCGTGTTTGTTTGTCATGCAAATGGGCTCCTATGTATTCCGACGCCCTCAGCTCAGTCATTGGTTGTCAAGTCGTCCTATACTGTATCCCGTTTTTTTATTTGCCGATGGATTGCGTAACCAGGCGGGGACGGACGGGCTATCACCGTCAATAGCGAGCCGCTTGGAGAAGCTGTACGAGAGCGGTTTCATCCAGAAGGCCGACGTCGATCAGAGGTAGGTCTGTCTGCTCCCGCCGTGCTGGTGCTGGTGCTGGTGCTGCAGGTGCTGGTGCTGCTGAACGTTTTGCGGTTGCTTGTCATGTGGTTTGATCGATCAGTTGTTTTGAGTTCTCGCTCGTGCACGTGATTGGCCGGTGAAGGTGCATGGTGTTCTTCCGAGACCTGACGGAGAAGGAGGCGGAGGCAGCAATGGACGAGTTTGGGCAGAGCGACATCACGTCCATCCGTAACAAGAGTGCCTTCCTCATGTCCATTCTCAGGTCAGAGAGATATTTATATTTTGGAGATGGTGAGATATTTATATTTTTGAGGTTCTGGGGTATTTTGGAGTTTTGGGGGTATTCCGGAGGTTTTTGCAATATTTTGGAGGTTTTGAGTTACTTTGGAGAGTTGCGAACAGGGCCCCTCTTGTTGCCGTGCGGGATACGTGCACTGTTCTTGCTTGCGGTTCGACGATGCCGGTTTCTTTGACGTAGCATGTTCTTTGCGTGGGAGAAGGAACGCCTTGGAAACTCCTTCAAACCCTTTTGTATCAAACGCCGTTAGGTAGCGGCCTTGATTTTTTTTGTTTTTGTTTTATTTGAGTCCACCTTGGTGGTCCATGCAAGTCACAGACCATGGCTCTCCACTACAGCTGCTAGGTACTCCACTCGCTGAAAAGACTCCACCACATCCCGTTCGACTGTGGGTATATCTCGAACGGGTAGTATTTCTGGTGGGTGTATTTATTTTTCCTAGTAGTTACGGAATCGCACTAATTAATTGGGTACGACAGGAGAGACTTGAAGACCCAGGATACGCATCGGAATACCGTATAAAAATCCCGCCGCTTCTCGTGTACGCTTCTTCTTTTCCGGACCGGCAGGCGGCATCACCAGGCCAGCAGCACACCGGCGGGAGGAGCCGCGGCAGCGGCGGCAGCAGCAGCAGCTGCGCCGGGGGGGAGGCCAGCAGCAGCCGCAGCCGCAGCAGCGGCCGCTGCAGCAGCGGCGGCGGCGGCGGGAATGGGGATGGGGATGGGGATGGGCATGGGCATGTATGGGGCGCACCCCTTTTCGGGGGCGCCGCATATGAGTCCTTACGGGTACATGGACCCATCCATGGCCGGTGCCGCTCCTTTCGCGGTGAGGGTTTTGCGTGCATCGCGACCGAGAACACTTCAGATTTTTTAGCCTTGTTTGGATCGGCGGTTGGGCTGATCAGTTGGGAGTGACACGTGTTCTTTCAAATTCAGCAGCGCTTCCCACGGCTGGGGAATTAATTCTGTTCTGAACGACGAAAAGCCAGGTGCGCCGAAATTGTGGCAATTGCGGGGTTCATTTCTGTCACCACGCGCCCGACAAGAACAAGAGACGTTTGGGACGTACGTAGGAGCATTAACACCTCTTTTTCCATTCACCCAGATCGTTGTTTCTAGACGTTGCAACGTGAGGATACACACCCCATGGGAGATAAACCTTGATTCATTCAGATTCGCAACAGTCTGTCGTTTGCTGGTCGGAATCAGGGACGAATACATGGATGTTCAAACGTCCTCGACGATGTGGAATTGTCGCACGCCTAAACCGTGTCTTGTTCGTTTGGTCAAAACCTCCCGACTCGATGGCCCTTGGAAGGGGCACCATGATACATATTTCCCCGCAATAGCTGCAAAAGTAACACATTATTATTGAAGTACCGAAGTCGGCTGGATGCACCATTGCCGAAGGGAACCATAGGTCTTAATATTAGTTTACGCAGATTTTTCAAGTAAGCAAAGCATATTGGATAAAGTATTGAATCGTCTAAGGTGGGGTTAGGGTGGGGTTTTGGTCTGCGTGCCCCCCGCTTGTTTTTTTCGTGATAAGCTTACCTTCTTTGCGTAGGCAATCCGTCTGGTCTCGGTATTGCATCAATTGAACCGACGCAATGCTGCTAAATACGTGGCTCACTGGTCGGTCCTTCTGCTCGCTCGCTGCCGGCCGCGCAGGACTTCTACGGGGGGATGTACGGCCACGCGCCACCGATGCCCCTGTTCAATGCGTACGGGCAGCCGATGGCCACGTTTATCCCGCCGCACATGCCCATGTACCAAGCCGGGACCACCGAGATGCTGCCGGCGAGCATTCAGCTCCGGCTAGACCAGCTGGCGGCGACGGGGTTTTGCCACGCCGGAGAGATTGACGACAGGTATAATATGTGCATGCGTGTGCCTAGTCTCTTGTGCTCTTGATGGTGTGCCTACGGTGAACTAACAGCCACCGTCGCGAGCGTCCCCTCGCCTGCTGAAGCATTCCCTAGTCCATGCCATCCCCCCTTTCCCTCGTTCGTGCCGTCATCCCCCTACCGTAAGAGTCGGAGTCTTAACGTTTCGTGTCGTCTCGGGTCTTGGCTCTTGTGCTATGCGCGCGAGCGACAGAACGGCGGAACACGCGGAAAAAGCCGCCAAGGTTATATCCGAAACGGCCGCATGCAAGCGTTCGCCCTCTGGCGAGGAGACTGATCGGCTGATTGTTCTCGACTTGGTGACGAGATGTTTGACATGGCGCGGTGATGGGGCCTGATCGGCATCGGGTTTGACGACTGCTGCGGGGCTGTGAGAGATGGTCTATCAATAATGTTGGCTTGGCTACATGTTTGGGTAATGTGCACGTGCCCCAAGTTCTTGCGGGAGGTGCCCGAGCACATTGACGAATTCCGCGGGATTTTTTTGGCCTCTTTTTTGTTTATGGTGCTGTTAATGTGCAGGTGCCGCAAGTTCTTGCGGGAGGTGCCCGAGCACATCGCTCTGCAGGCAATAGAGGAGTTCATGTCGACAGAGCGAAAAAACATCCGGAAGGTCTCCGCGTACCTCATGGTGAGCAAATTGAATTTGACGGTTCACGTCCCACCTCATTTGTCTTGCAAGAGTACAAGAGCAGTCCTCTGGGGTTTGGCGGTACATGTACCGTTTTCGATCGGACTCCTACTGGCCCTTTGATGACGCGCACTGCTGATTACGTGATGATGACGCTCGACGCTTAGCTCACGGCTGAGAGCTCTGACTGACTGATATCATTTGCGTTGTGCGTTAGGTCAACGCAAGGCTTCTCTCCTCGAAATCAACTCCGCGTCAGATTTTTTTTTTTTTCCAAAGCTATATGGAACGACGAGGCTTGCGGCGCTGATGGCCATGCCACGTGGTTTGATGAATCTTTGTCTAGAGAACACGCTCGCCATGTAGAATGTAACAAGCTTTGGAGTACATACATACAACGCCGAAGAGAGAAACTGCCGTCTCGGAAGAGACTGGCATGAGTGTCGCACGACGCACCATCGTGTCTGCCATTGCCTCAAACGAAGAAAGAACAAAAAATATCATCTCGGAAGAGAATGACTCAAGTACCACGCCACGCGCCACCGTGTGTGCAACCCCAGGGCGTGATCCGAAAGCACGCCGACAACTACCGGGGCTTTGTGGCCGTGGGGACGTCGGGGGGACCGCCTGCGGGGCTCCCTTCCCCGTACGAGGCAGGCCTGAAGCGCATTCGCGAGTACAACGACTTCTGGGCGAAGCAGCAGCAGCCTAGGCCGCAGGGGGGCTCGGCCCTGTTGGAGGTATGCGTACATGTGCACACAAGTCGATGCGATGGGGTGGGGGGAGTAGGAGACGGCGCGGTCTCTCTCGGAGCCGTGTGAAGTAGTGAGGGACAGCGATGTCTCTCCGAACCGTGTGAAATAGTGTCCGTCATGAGGCGTCGCGGTTTCTCTCGGAACCGTGTGAAATATCTTCCATCATGAGGCGGCGCGTTTTCTCTTGGAGCCATGGTCACGTGCACGGTTTTTCCGCGACGAAAATGGCTGTAAATTCGTAAATTCGGTATTTTTCGATCCTTGTCAGCCTTGCTTGGGTCAGAGTTTGAAAGCTCGATTACTCCACGCCAGAAGAAACGCAGGTGTCGCATTGGAAAGGAATTTCTCATGGTCTCATTGGAGAGCTTTCGGGAAACGTACGTATCAATCGGCGACGTCAGTCTCTTTGGTAGTGACACAATCGAGCTTTTCAACTTGACCCTGGGGGTATGATATCCACCGTCAAATCCGGCATGGTGATTTGTATGCCTAGCTCTGGGAAACGGACTCGGGATATTTTTCGGTCACCTCCGGGCTTTCCCGTATAGGATTTAAAGCTGCACACATGGTTGTTGTTGCTGTTGTTGCTATCGCCATGTCCACAATTAGAAATGTTCTGACCTCTGCAGCATCCCATGCATCGTCTTTCCCATTCTTGGAGCAACAAATACTGATTTCCCGTGGCCACAACCCGACGCAAACTAAGATATACCCATACGTTATACATACATACAACTAAGAACAATAATCCGTACTTGTCGCCGCTTTGTTTTTTTCGCTTTATCTGTGCGCCGGGGGGCACCGCAGCGCATAGCAGGGGCCCCGGCGAAGGTGCAAGCGGGCATCACCGACCTCATCGAGAAGGGCATAGCGATGGAGTGGGACATCGACGTCCGCGTAACGAACGCGTTCTTGGGGGTGAGGGAGCGGCCGCGTGCCGGTCAGCGAAGGAATGGACGAAACGGTTTTTCGTCGTTGACCCGCAGGCGTTTTTTGTGTTCTCTTGCAATGGGTGTGTTCTTGCGGTCGGCGGTAATTATAGTGCCATTGTGGCGGTATGTTTAGTGGATCGAGGGAGGAAGGGACAGACTGTTCTCTCAAGACGACGAGACGTTAGCGCTGCAGCGAAAACAAACACCGCTGCGATGCATTGACGAAAGGCTACCCCACGCCTTGTGGGGCGCGCACGCCGTGTGCGTTGCTGGGCTAAATCTGTGTTTGTTCATAGCATACTAGGGGCGATCCCTTTGTGTACAAAATACCCTAAGACCTGGCCCGTCGCTCTGTTACGGCCGGTGAGAGAGAGAGGGTGACACAAATAGAATATCCGAGGTGTTAGTATCATCCCCTCGGACGGGTGCCCGCTTCAAAACGCCGGCCTAATCCCTTTGGCGATGTGCGGCCTTTGGGGGGATTAGGCCGTCCTTACACGGGGCCTGCTGTACAGGCGCTGTGCACTTAGTACGCCGCTGTGACGTTCCATGGGACGCCTTCGACCTGTCCATCCGCGGACCCTGTCGCGTTTCGCCGTTCGTATCTCGGGCGAGAAACATGGGGTAGCTCTACTATTTAGTATTGTTGAAAAGAAAAAAACTGGGTGATTCTCGGCAGAGAAAAACCAAAGGTGAAACGCGACATCGTGCGCGGATGGATAAGTAGACGGGGTGGTCCATGGAACACGACAGCGGCGAAATGAGAGCACAAGGCACGTACAGCAAGCAGTAGTGGCCCTGTTATATAGCCCCAGATTACCCAGGGATTAGGCCGGCCTTTATCACGTACTTTGTTTTTTTTTTGTGTTTTTTGTAACTCTGATCAACGCATCCACGCAACTTCTCACGACGAAGATATTTTGCCGACTTTTCATGTTTCGCCGACTTGCGTTACCTCGCTTCCTTTGTGCGTGCTTTCGAAACGGGTGGGAAGCGCGTTGCTTTGGTTGTTACTGCTGCTGACGTCGATGGCGACGTTGATGCTAATGTGTTGACGCATTTATCCCTCTACAGTGCTATTGTTGTCGTCGTGATGACGTCACAATGCGTGCCGACGTTGCGTTTAATTTGTTGCGCGTTTCTTGGCGCAGTTGACGGAAGAGCAAGGCGTCGAGGCCATCGAGGAGTTCGCCTCGTGCGACATGACCCGCATTCGGAACAAAAGGTCGGTGCACTTCACCCCGCGCCACGCGACCGACGCCACTCAACCACTCTTGTTGCACACGTACAGCAGTTCAAGACATGCGGAAGATGGCTGTGTCACCCCCCCCCCCATGCCTCTCTTGATCAAGCCGTAGTTAAAGCTTGTGTTGTCCTACGCTTGCCGCAGTGCGCATGCAGGAGAAGGGCGTGGAGTGCACGCAGAAGACAGTCGACGATTTTTTCTATTCTCAAGTGTGGTCTTTTCGGAAAACGAAAGCACCAAGCTATGCGCGGTCGTTGTACGTGTGCCGGGTCTTTTGGTTTTCTCCTTCATCCTCCTCCTGCAGCGTTGTGCCAGCGTGCGTACCGTGCCTTCTGGCTGCCCGAAATTGGCACGTCTGGCGTCGAGTAAGGACATAGTCACGTCTGACTCCCGGCGTGACGATGCATGCACTGCTTGTTGCATGGTTGGCGCTCTCTAACAGCGAACGCGGATGGAGCGCATGCGACAAGGACCGGCTCTCGATTGGTCGTTCGCTATGTTTAGATTTGCTGCAGTTTAGGTTTGTCTCACGGCAATAAGCTGTACTGGTACGTGCCGGGCCGACACTCCCCCTCGCCTGCGTAGGACCGGTGCCGATGCGCCGTAACTTGATGCCGTTGTGGAAGTCTCGAAGTCTCGACACCATCTCCTTTGTATTCGGTGTCGGTATCCCGCCCTGTGGCGGCCAGGATGAGGCCTGCCTGGTGTCTGCCAACACGCAACGCCGCGGCGATCGCGACATGCCGCCCTCTTTGCTCGGCTATCTGGGACGAAGTTCCGTGCGCGTCGCGTTTGGTTTTCTAGCGAGACACGGGACCCCTTCTCATTTGGTCCACCCCAGGGAGGGGGTTCAAGCTCTTTCCTCCCCGCCTAATGTTTTCCAGCGCTTGGTCCATAAGGGCGCTGAAGCGACGCTAAGCTGGTATCTCCTCCGGCCGTGACGAGCACTAACCCTAACTATTGATCACGCCCGTGCTTGGCAGCGCTTACCTGATGGGCCTGCTGAAGCGGTACAAGTCTGGCGCACCCCCGCCTCCTGGACTTGCCCAGCGCTGATCTGAGCCGGATGAGAGTTAATGGTGAGGATACCTAGATTGACGCCGCGTTTTTGCTGCTGCTGCTGCTCCTGGGGCCTGTTGGTTGCCAGTCGCAATTTGAGGCATGTTCTTGTGTCTTAATGACTTTAGATTTGTGTGTGGAACATGCGGCTTGTGTTCAGGACCGAAGGAGTTTCGGTGAAGACAACACAAGAGAAGACGTCACTTGTGGTTTGACCCTGGCGCTTGTGTGGGCAGGTCTCGAGTTTCATGAACACGTTGCGGATACCGTTTCGCCCGATCTTGTAGGCTGTCGTGCACTTGTCACTGTTGTGCGGTTAGCGCGGACGAGATCAAGATGGACGCTCTCTATCTACAAGATCTGCGTGACTAACGTGATCCACATGATGCGGCGTATCGCGTGTGCGTGAGGTTATCATAGCTTGGTGCACTTCACCACGCCGTGTTACGCGCTTTGATTCTGCGCTCGAGGTATCGGCCGGCGGGAAGATCTCACTTTTATCGTCGTAGCCAAACGTCCTTGAGTCGCGGCAAGCGCTTGGCATACCGTAAGAGGCGGAGAGAGAGAGGTGCCCCCCCCCCCCCCAGACCGACTTTCAAAGCTCGATTGCTCCACAACGAAGGGGGTGCCGAAAGAACCCGATACGTCCACCGAAAGCCCTCGACGTCATGTTTCCAAACCCACGTCTTTTGGTGCAGGCAAAAACTTGCTCGTGGAGCAATCCAGCTTTGAGAATCGGGGTGTACTCTCTCGGCCTCTTTCGGTAGTCATTTGGCTGTATTGTTTTTTCTGCCACTGTGGACGTCTTCTCCACGACAGCCCATCCCTCGCTCGACACGTGTATTCCGTAACTACCTCCTTAACCACCCACCTTCCCGGAGCTTCCCTGTCCTGTTCGCGCGCCGCTTCGACCCGACAACCACGCGCCAAGTATCTCGCGTGCTCGGGCGCGAGCGTCGTCGCCCACAATGCAGCCCCCACCACCGTTCAAGTTTCGCCTTTTTTTTTTTTTTTTTTTTTTCGTGCCGTCGATCGTTGCCGCCGCCAACCCCGTCGCTACCGCCGCCGCTATCGCCGCCGATGCCGATGCCGATGCCGATGCCGATGCCGCCCCCCTACACGGTAGAATATGCTTCTCTCGGTCCCGTTCGGTCGGTCAGACGGCGGTTGGTTTCCTCTCGTCGCAGCCCGGAGTTTCTTCTTCCAAGGGTGATTCCAAAGAGAACGCTCTGTGACGTAACGTGATGAGCTGCGCGGTGCGGCTGCTGCGCACGTCCTTTTCAAGCTAACCTGCCCCCCGGCCAGCTGAGAGGAGGCAGGCCTGTTCATCAAACACCCCGCTCGTGGTGGGCGTTGTGATGCCATCGAATCGATGTGCTGGCATTCCCATCGTGCTTGGTTTGGTGCCTTTCCTGACCGTCGGCTGGCTGCAGTTGGAGGCGGTCGGTTCAGCAAGGCGTCATCGGAGGAAACTCGAGCCAGGGAGAGGTGCATAGCCAAGTATCGAGCGTTTCGCCGTCGGTGTTATATGTGCTCGCTCCCGTACATGTCGACATAACCGTTTCTCGAGGTAAATAGCGTACGTAGAATCGGGGATTTCCTAGACTTTATGTTACCATGTGCGTGTTTTTCCGATAAAACTGTAATCCATATTTACTAGGGACCAAGATTTCGACGGAAATGTAAACCCCTTGATTCGGAGTACAGTTTTTCGGAAATGGTTCCCTCCGATCGGACCTTACCGGGAGAATAGCTTCGGGTTTTGGGTCGACACCTACTTTTTTTTTGCTTTCTTTTTCTCTCTTTTACTGCTGTGTGTTTTTCTACTTCAGCCCCTTATTAGTATCATTTTCTCTTCTTGTGGTCGCTGGCGAATCGCACGATTTCTTGTATTTGGTGCGGCTCCATGTTTTATATACCTTCCTGCGGTTGTTTGGGGACGTGCCGCAGAAGCTACGTATCATGCTAGTCAGTGCCACTCACATGTTTTTAGAGGTTAGGTAGGTACGGAACGCCATGTTCTGAAGATTTTCAGCTGTGTGTGTCGCTGAGGGGATCGTTTTTCGTGTTGTTTTGGTGTGTGATAGGATAGCAACAACGACTGGGTGGTACGTCGGTGGCGGGGCATCGACACCGCACACCGGCCTATACCTATCTGCCTCGTTAGGTCTCCAAGCTCTTCTTGTCTCATTGCCGGCCGCGCTCCGTCAACGACCAGTCGCCAAGATTTGGATCGTTCTCGTTTTTTTTGTTTGCTCTGCTCGCGCCTCACCATCTCTGTGTCGTACGCGTTTGTGGGCTAAGGTTTATCTTTTCGTGGGCTGCTGTGCTGTGTTTGAGTGTAAGCGACGGAAAGACCGTTTCAGCGGCGTCTAAGCCAACTGGTACTCCGTGCCAGGTATATGATTAGAAACGGGTGCGTGGATTGGGGGCGTGGTGGAGTGGTTGTCTGAGAAGTTTTTTTTTTTTTACATTTTTCATGTTTGCGTTTGTGGTAGCGAACTCTTGTCAAAAACTAGGTACTGCTGTGACGCCGACAAAAGATGTTGTGTGACGTCGGTTTGGGAGCCAAAGTGTCTTTCTTGATCTTTTCTTGGACATTTTCTTTCATGTTTTGCTGCAACAAACGGGTGCCCTGTTGTTCGAAGGGGCGAGCCGAGAGAGGCAGCAAGAGCTTTCTGACGTGGAGGAGGGGGATTGGCTTGTCCGTGTGTGCCGTCCGTTGCGCCAGTTGGCTGTGTTTTGCTGTTTTGGGGGAAAGAATCGCAGTGGGACGAAGTTCTTGTGCTCACTTTCGCTGTGTAGTGCCTGGCGTCGTTACTCGTATACAGGTGTTCTGTGATCGCCTCCATCGAGTGTATGATACGTTGGGTTGCCTTTTGACGCTAAGGCTCGGCGCCCAAGAAACGTCAATCCGATCAACATGTGCGTCGATGCCAGCGTGCCCGCGTGGCGCCTCTGTTGTCTACGGGATGGAGGGTTGTTCGTTGTTCTGCTTCATAGAAGTGCGAATCTCGTGCTGGGGGCCCCGTCGTTGACCTTGTCCATGGAGGGGGGGGGGTGGGACCGTTTTTTATGGGTGGCGTCTTCATTATATTTACAACATGCTTTACCTTCTTTTTGGTGGTTTCCTGGGTTTGGTTGGTGGTACTGATATCGCGTGGCTAGACAGGCTGGATGGACATCCAATATATGTTGGCTTTTTTCTCGTTCCGCAAAAGGGGCCATTCTTCAGTGGAACGTGTTTAACGTTGAAGCAGAGAGATTCTAGCGCCGTTCTCCTTGCTGGGAAATACGATGTTACAGTTGCCTTCAGTAGTAGATATCCTCACAATGTTTCGGATCCATACCGTTTGTCATTTTCCATGCGGGGTGAACGTTTTTGAAGGCATGAAAAGACAAACGTGGCACCATGTTGCAGTAGTCGTCACGCAACGTGATCGTGCAACAGTAGCCTCCAACCTTCCACCCCCCCCCCCCCGACAAAAGCTTCCAGCGTCAAGAACGCCTCTCATGCTCTCTGACTCGAATCGCTGGTGTCATTCGAGGGCGGGACGGACGGGCCCCGCTCAAGATTTCGCCCGAACACAAACCAATAGTTCGCCTGAAAATTGGGAGAAAAAGCAGGGATTCTGGGGTCCATCATTAAAACCCTTAGAAGGGCACATCGCTTTGCGCCCCCTTGCAAGACACCTTTAGGCAAACCCTGGGAGACACACAAACCATGGCCGATGGTGGACTTGGTTTCCAGGCTTGATGACCAATTTTTAGCATTCGGCGGGTTAGGCGCGGAACGTGTTGGCGAACGTGCCGCGAAGCATTGTTGCCGGTGATGTCTATGCATGAACACGATGCAGCAAGTTCTCTCGAATAACCACTATGTTCTTTCCACTGTACATTTCGCATACTTGTGGAACTTTGGTCGGGCTCGGTCATCGCCTTGAACGACACTAATATGTCGATCACGGCTTGCTGCTACTCCCTCCTCGAGAAGCCGAAGTAGCAGCCGCAGCAACCTCAAATCTGTTCGGCCAGTCACGACAGTGGTACGCCACTGCGCATGGGTTTCCCTCCGAGCAGCTGCAGCTCTCTTCCCTTCTCCCCTCCTTAGCGCACTGCTCCCCTGTAGATGCGCGCAAGATTCGGTGGGAACGACGGAAAGACACCGGCCGGCTTCGAAATCTCGCCTCTCAACATCAAAAACACGAGGAACAACAAGATTGTAATGCACTATCTGATACATGATGAACCGGAACCGCCAACGAATGAATCCGTTTTTCTGCCGCGTGTCTACCACAATGGACAAGCTGCTGAGTGAGTTGCTGTAGTTGGTGCCTTAGATTTCTCTATTTATTTTTATGCCGCCAGCAGGAGTAGCGCTGGCATCGGGGCTACGCCCTTTAGTGGCCATTGGAAACATGTCCCCGCGTTGTTTTCGGTAGCGTTAAACAGCAGTGGTAGGTCTGTGCAGCCCTTCACCGAAGACGTTTCTGAACGGTAAACGGATGATGTTTGGAAACGCTCTTACCCGTGGAGAGAAGCTCGAACATGGGCTGTTTCGAGTAATGCACCATCGCCGTTCTTGACACCTCTTCGCCATTCAGGGTTTTGAGGGTTTGCAAGCGCTACAGCACACATCGCACATCAACAAGGCAAGTTCGAAATCGGAAAAGGGAGCGAAGAGACACGTCTCATCGTCAAGCACTTGTTGTCGCGGGTAAGTCGTCTGCCACCTGTAATTTACCGTTAATCCGCTGGCGGTGTGTCCAAGTTCCTGGACTATCTCTGACGATGATGGGTAGGGGCGACAGTTACAACGAAGATGAGGTTTCGAACCAATCTCTTATCGAGGGCTTTCATACGACAGACGACCCCTCTGTGGACACCTTCCCCATCACAGAGGGGTACAACGTCGTTTGAAGTATAACGATTCACGTGATGAGAGGAGACTGTGTTGTGACGGTTGACTGTCCCCCCCCCCCGTGCAGCAACGCAGTGAGGATTGCATTGAGTTCCTGGTTTCGACGTAACTCTTCTTCCAGGGCAGGGCATCTCCGGGTTGCTGGTATGGCACCGGTATCTCACCGTGGTTATTCTCAGAAGCTCGTCTTGGAGCTCGCCCTCGGCAGGAAAGTTGTTCCTCAGGTCAAGGCTTGCCAGACGAGGGAACCCCGCTTTCGTAAACATCTCCAGCACATGACGACCGTCTCCGTTTTGAGAACCAAGCTCGTTGTTGGCAAGGTTGAGGTCGACCAGGGACGTCAGGACGTGGAGGGGGCTCGTCAGGCTGCTGCTAGCAGGGACCCTCGCAACCGTTGCGACCGCTTGCGCGGCTTCGGGCTCGTCTGCTGCGGAGACGTCCAGTTGCTTTAACCTGGTACCACACATTTATTGGGCCTTCTTCCTTGTCATGAATGTAGAAGTTGCCATTATTGACAGAATTTTACACGAAAATTTGAAATCTGCAGAGTTATGGGTTTCGTTCGGTGCCAAAGGCTAAGACACCGAATCCAGCAAAATATTCCCCTCACATGACACAAGCTATTCATACATCATCAGGGTAGGTTGGTCAGAGTAGAAACATGGATGGATGGAATGGTAGCCCTTCTGTCTTCTGTAGGGGGTCGAGTGTCTCCACTGCAGCATATACCCGCACAACAAGAAATCGTTCGACGTGTCGTATACCAGCTTGCTCGGCATGGCGCCTGCGGTCACGCTCCTCCTACAAAACGCTTCGTGACTCCCTGACGTTTCCAAACGTAAGACTGCCGGCGATAAGGCTACTCATCAACCACCCCCCACCTGTTGCTGTCGAGGCTCAGTCTGCGGAGGGTCGGTCCGAGCTCATGAGGGAAGCAGCAGTGGGGAAGGGAGCTGATGCTGTTGCGAGCGAGGTCCACGGCCTGCAGCTTCTTTAGGTTGCCCAGGAAGGGTACCCTCGAAAGGGAGTTTTCTGATGGGCGCCGGAGGACGGATACATAAGGTTAGGAAATCAATATGAGATCAGCGTTCGCTGTGCTAGGGAATACACTTGGGGGTGTGAAGAAGCGTCATGAGCGAGAAAGGGACACAAAAATGAACAGCCCAACGGAATTTCCAACGTGACTGCTCAAGCATTCCTTTTGTGGGGATGTGGTTAAGGATTCGCCAAACACGATCGATCTCCGTTAATTTTTCCGTTGGGATTAAAAGAACAAGGGCACTTCTGCGTCTAGATGCGATATCCCGTTCACGAATGCTCGACGCGTTCAATACCCCAAGAAACGAGCTTTGGACAAGAGACGTCACGCGTTGCGACGTGCAGGTTCAGTGAGTGAAAAGAGACTTGATTGAGCAAACAAATTGGGCCTATTGAGTCCAAAAAAGGGTCCACACTTTGGGACTTGAGACCCGCATCGACGGAGAATCTTGGAGCTTCAATAATTGACCTAGGGATTGATACCAATTATAGTGAATATCATTCGTCGATATCACGTACACGGACAACACCAACGCAGCAACGCACCAACCCAGCATGTTATGTAGAACGATACAGGCGCACCATTACCTGCCGCATACAATTCCCTGAGCCACGGAGTCCAAGCCGCAACCTTGTCTAGACCGGCATCACCCAGCTGGGTCCCGCTCACATCGAGGCTGATCAGCCCGGTCGCCAGCAGCTGTCGAGTGTAAACCGGAGTAGTCGCTAACGGCAAGTTGGTGCCGCGGAGTATTAGTCGCTCGACAGATATATTTTCGTCTGCGTGTCCATTCGATGCGTCGTTTCCGCCTCCAGCGGCGTCGCCTTGTGTGTCGCCTGTCGAGGCCTGCCCAGCCGTAGCACATGCCGCCACTCTGTCGCCGTGTGTGTTTCGGACCGGGATACCGCTTTCAAACGCGATCGGCCGCCGGCGTGCGTGCCTCCTTCGAAGTAAGTGCTATCACCGAAAAGGGAGGGTGAACCTGTCTGCACCGACGCTACCGAGGAAGCTACAGCGAGCGGTCGTAGACATACCCGTGTCAAGTTGCCGGGATCAAAAACAAGAACAACATCAGTCGATCCTACAACCACCGGTAAAATACACTTGAACAAAGGGAATCGTACTCTTCATCCTTTTGTCTTCGGGGGATCATTCAAACCGGAAAGCCTCTGGCGTTGATGCCTGAAGAACGGCCTGAGCAGCATGTTCCGTCAATGCCAGTTCCCGCCCTCGAGATGCCGCATCTTGCAAACGCTTCCACTCCTCAGGGGGGCTCAGCTTGCCTCCAAGGGGAGATCTCGAAGTACAATAATTCAAAATGCGCAAACGGAATGCTTAGGAGAGACTCACAAGTCTGGTGGCAATAGCGTTGTTGGTGGTCTTATCGCGGCAACCTCCCGTGTCTCACAATTCGTCAGAAACTCACCCTTATTATGCCGTGCTTCCAAGCTCCCCCCGACTCGAACGCTACACTCCCAGCTCACCTGCTAATACTCTTAGTGCTCGGGATTACTAGCATTCGATCTTAGCTCCAAGTTGGCAGCAAGATATGCTGCTGCTGCTGCTGCTGCTGCTGCTGCTGCATGTGTTGCGGTGTGGTTGTCACCTGAACCCCGTCCACGGATCGGCAATTTCTTCCAGCGGCGGACCATCGACAGCGACTTTCGCAACACGTTTTATCTTCGAGCGTGACCCTTTTGTCGGCTTTTTCCCTCTACCCGTCATCCTTCTGTCCCCAGCTACACTGTCTCGTACCGGCACCAATGCTTGATCTGTGGACTACTTAGTGTAGGTGAAAAGTTGTAGCCTTGGTTGGTGTTACGTGTACTTTCAAAAAAACAATCATTACGCAGTGCCCCCGTGGAAAAATTCGAAAAAATGCGGCGAGATGTAGCAGGACGTCACTTGGTATGCCAAAGTCAGGGCAACACACGCCCCACAAGCAGGAGACAAATAGAAGCAGGCGAGTCGTGCAAGATTCATCCAATCCATTCACTTTGAAAGGCCTGCTAAGTGCAGGGATGCCAGAGAATTGACAGAGAAGACGCACAGTGTTACGTTTCGCGCGGAAACGACAGTTTCACTCTCTTTGTCGGCGCTCGAATTTCGTCGGGAGTGGTTACGCCGCATTCCGCGTGCCTTGTTCGCGTCGACCAAATGCCCGCCGAGAGAAGTCTATGCGAGCATACAGAGCACCGCCGAACCTGCGGCATCATCATCCTGTCTGCACCATGCGTCTCAAGCCTAGAAAAAGGGCACGGCTGCTACAACTGGCCATGGTTGCCGTGTACGCGGCCACGGGCAATGCACGATCCTGCACCACCACTCGTGTGGCAGATATGAACAACTACGGTAAGCTGATGCCATACTTGTACATTGACTGAGAACAAGTTGTGTATGCGCATGACCCTGTAGCACCTCATTTTTTTCTTTCAACTCTCTCTCTTTCCCCGCTGCACGATCATGTCAGGGCCGGGAGTCTCGCTAGCGTCGGTGGAAGTCTCCACCCCCTTCGCCACCGGCTCGTACAACGCAATTGTCGCTTTCGATGCGACACACTGCGTCCAGGTGAACCCACAAGCTATTACAGCACGAACACACGGCAGATACTGCAACTTTCCCCCGTATCTAAACCCTCAACCCTGCCTGCTGTTGTTGTTATGGCTGGTCTAATCCAGATTGCCTCCATCATAGTTTGTACTCGAGAGTAATTGTAGTCGACAGTTGAGTTGAGAAAAAAAAATGTTCCGAGATTAGCCTACCACTTTTTTGTAGACTACTGTAGACTCTATAACACTTATTGTGGTCCACAACTTAGCGCCCAAAAAACAAGAAAAAAAAAAACGGAAACTGGACAGCTCGACTTCTCCCAGAAAAGTTCTCGAAATAGACGCAAGCCCTTTGACGGACGACTGGTTGATTGGGTAAGACGACAATAATGTAGATGTGGGCTGTTTGGCATCGGATTTTTTGTACTGCCGACTGCTGTACATGAATATACCATAGAAAACCCGCAGGATTCGTATCAAACCGGAATCGAGGACGCAATACCTTACAACCCCTTGTCAAGACAATCCTTTCGCTGCGTATTGGGCAGCGATAGATTGTGTGACAACACCCATCACCGCACGGCTGTCACATACTTTTGAAGACATCCAACGAAAGCACTCGAAACTTTTCCCCTCAACACTACTCGCCTTCAACCAGCAGCCTGGAGGCGTACCTCCAGCAGGTTGACTGCCGTAAGGTATTTTCATTTATTTAGGTTCGAGCGGGAACTTGAAATAAGTTCAATTGAAACCGTAAAACGTCATCGAAGCCCCTCATTCGATTTCTCCGGGGAATCTACAGTAGGGAATGCACATATCGTGGAGACCGGTGAAAGCGTTCATATACGAGCGTCCATGTGTTGTAGAAATATCGGTTCAGTTGAAGCTTCCATGAATTCAACGGAACCCAATTTGGAGCTTCGATATAAGGCAGGAGTAGCGCAAGACCATTGCAAAATGCTCTTCTCACAACGCTCTACGCAGATGGGGTAACTCGCCAATTTTCCTCGGCAATTAATTATTAAAGTTTCCATTCCGTTGTGCTGCCTACACGCCGCAGATGTGCTGCGAGCAAGAAGAATGTGCCCGTGCTGTCTTCAATGAAGGGGAATCTATCTGCTACCTCAAGGGGTCCGAAGCGTTGGCGAGCTACCACGACGTGCCCGCCACCGGCGTATCAACTTATACCATCGACACAAGAGAAGGCAAGCTCTGTCGCGTAAACCGAAGCTGCATGAAAGCGCTTCGATGAGAACACTCAGCGACACCGAATTTTTTCGATTTTGCGCAGGTATTCAGGCTGTCGAAACATCTTGTGGAGGTTCATCGCACAGATTCACTATTTTCCAAAAGAATGCGAGCTTTGGGTTCGATGCGACCAATGCCTGAAATCGTAGAGATGTCCGTCAGAAGCAGGAGTAGGCTATGTGGTACACGAGTATTGTGGTTGTTTACATGGGCCGCGACCTTTGTTGCTAGGTCTTCACGGCTAGATATATCACTGTTCGATGTGGATCATGAGGTTTTTACTTTTCTCCTGCAATAAATAAAGGTAGCTCCGAGCCTGTGGAGCTGGTGCCGACGCAGTGCAGCAGCAAGCGAGGGGTTGCTTTTGGGTTCAAGGAATCGGGCGACCTGTACACTCTGAAGACGGGAATTTCCTGGTGGTGAGAGTCAAAAGTTCTAAAACACCCGGAAGGAAGTACGTCGTGTGTCTTTCGGGTGATGAAAATAATTTGCATGACGGTCTCAAGGAAACAAATCATTACGACCCTAGGGAACATGTCCACTTGTGACCAACTGTTGAATATTGCTGACCACCCGAAAACTCTTGGAACGGCAGCAATCTCTGATTCCTTGGGCTATACTTGCTGTAGTACCTGAATGTTTTATCCACTCGCATTCGGAATCTAGCAATTCCAAAATATTAGGACGTGCTCGTCTCATTCTCCTTTTTTGTTTATGTCAGACACGTGGTGATTTAATCCGTTTCCACGCCCTTGAATGAGCACCTGGGATGTGCAAGTTTGGATAAAGAGATGCTTCACGGAGGGATGACGCCAATCGCAGAAAAAACAAGGTTGTGATTGCTAGCAATACCCAAGCACAGCACGATTCTGATAGTTGCCTCGGTCCGCTACCCTTTACGACTCACCTGCACAAACATGGATATAAAAAGGAAAACGAAGAAGCACGAGAAATAACACCAACCACAACAAATCACTACACACGCGACCATGCCGTGTCAGGTATGATTGGTCCCCGGGGTCCCTCGCGGACGGAATTTTGGAAGCATCGCTGACCCAGGGCTCACTGTACGTTCCCATGATCTGGGGAGAGGGCGACTTGACAGAGGAGCGCCTGAGAGATCTTGCGTGGGTAGGGGACACCTCTCCTTACTTGCTCGGCTTCAACGAGCCGAACTACGGGGAACAGGTGCGTGTCGGGAAGTGGAGGCGCGGATCGGGTTGGGCACAAGGGTATGAAGACGCAAGGACCACCAGGGCCGACATCGCCACAGACCAAAACAATGACGGCAATGCTAGTATTTCAAGTGTTTTGTTCCATGCACTACCTTCAATCTGTGTATTGCGCCCCCGTTCAGATCCCAGCAAAACCATCTATCTCTCGATCTCTCCGCCCTTTGGTGTCTCCGCTGCCGAACGCGTACGTTCAGGCAAATCTCACCCCTCAGGAAGCGGCTGACCTTTGGCCTCAAGTTCGACAACAGGCGGACGATTTGGGCATGGAGCTGGTGTCCCCAGCCGTCAACTTCTGCTACGGGAATTGTGTCGAAGAGGTACTGTACAACCCAAAGCCATACTCGGTCATCGAATACCGAGAGCCAGCTGGCAGATACAGCAAACGCCAGAAGTTGTTGCGGGAACTGGGTCCGAGAGGAACTGCATACGCATACAAGCAGCTCGAGTCGAAAAACTAGAAAAATGACCACTCCCGCCCAAAGAGGCTAAGGGAGCGTTGATTCCGATCACAAACCGCGTACGTCGTAGAGGGAAACAGCGAAAGACAAAACGCAAAAAAATCGGCAGAATCAAAATTTGCAGATCTCGTGCTCGTGTCATTGTAGTTAGAACCAATTTTACTAGGGCCAGAATCGAGAATCCGACTACCACTTTGAAATAGATCTGCGGCAGGATTTGCCGCAACTTCTGTAGATGTTTCCCCTCTGCCGGAATCAACCAACCCCATTGGCAGGGAAGCGCGATGTCCCTGCGGTTAGCCCATCTCTTCGCGGTCTACATGTAGCCGCAAGGAAGAGACATTGCGAGACGTTGACTGACGTTTTTTGTGTGTTGGCGCAGGACCCCATCACGTGGCTGGATGAGTTCTTCGAGGCGTGCGGTGGTGACGTCGAAGACCGCGACTTCTGCGGCATCACGCACATAGCCATCCATTCTTACACATGCGAGGTGGGTCCTTTTTGTTGTGTTTGTTGACCCGATGGCCTTCTTGACGCCACAATCGATGGCGTATTCCTTGGTTCGCTGACTCCGTTTGTTTGAAGAGAGGTGGACAACTCTACACGAGAGCAGCTGAAATATATACTGGTACTATTGAATACAATCATTCATGATATGGGGCTAGCTCACAAGTTCCCAACGCGCGTTAGCTGTCGTTTGTCTCAGATCCTGACACCATGCAAAGAGACCAACAAACTCTATCGGGGGAGAATGTGAACCGGACCCTAGTTTGAACTTCGCGACTCTAGACATCCTCTGCCACGTCACCCTTGTCGTTGTTGACCATAACTCGTCGTCAATGAATACGCTCCACACAGGTCAAGTACCTGAACAAGCACATCCACATGTACGTCCAGCGGTACGGTTTGCCGATCTGGCTGACCGAGTTCGCCTGCGGTTTCGAGGCAACCGAGCTCGACGCATACGGTCAGGCGAGTTATTGCCTTCAAGCTGCGCAATACTGTGACCTTCTACAGCGGAGAGTGCTTCCACCGTGCAATCAATTTCTCCGCAACCGGAAGAGGATTTGGTTTCCTTCACAGGCTATGATGAATCCTCGACCACGCCTCTGGAGCCCGCGAGACGCCAATATCGCTCCTTCGTAGTCGTCGGTGTGTCCTGCGATGCAAAAAGCAATCAAGTTTCCAAGCGGGGAGGCATCAGCGCACTTGACAACCCTCTCCCCCTCAACAATGTAAGGAAAACCGTCGACTCACACCAACATCATCCGCAGAGAATGAACGGAGCAACTGGTGACCAAATGATATTGTTGCATCTCGGACGCGGCCCGTGCAGAGTAGTGATGGAGGTGACACGTGGAGGGGGGCAAATAGGCGGTGTTGGCCATCGCGAAGCACGCGTAGTCGACGGTCAAGTGCCTAACGAAGCACTGTCACTTGCATGCGTCCACACTCCCCGAGGAAAGGGTCTACCCACCCACTCGTTCAACAGCCCATGATATGGTACCCCCCAAAAACCAACTCAGGCGGATTTCCTGGAAAGCGCCTTGACCTACCTAGAGCTGAACCCTCACATCTTCCGCTACGCATGGTAAGTCACGAGGGGGAACACGCTGGTTAGAAGAGTTGCACTTGCCACGGGTCGCACGGATAAGGGTTTGATTGCAGTTCGTTGGCCATGGCACTGGCTCAGCAGGCGTTCTTGGTGCAGCCCCTACTCACCCTTCGCTGGGCACCTACTTGGTTCTGAAACTGTACCACACGTCTTTAGAGGCGCATGCTAAACACCACGGTAAACGATAGAGAGCTACAGAGCACTTGGCGACTCAGAGGACGACGCCTAATACCAGGAAAAAGATGGCTGGGACGTTAAAGCTCTCCGTTAATCAGGGGGTACTCGGTATCGAAGCTAGAAGGAGGCAACGCTGGGCTTTGTTGGCCGAGCGGTGTTTGGTACCATGCAAGTTCTCCTGGTGCCGTTGCCCCCCTCTACACTGTACTTCCGTGGTGTAACTAGCGTTGTTCATTTGGTGCCCATAAATGTTGCGGTTTTCGCGGCATCGAAAATTGTCTTCGCCACCCGATTTTGAAGAAACGGGGACATTGTTGGGGAGAACAGGAAAATCTCTGCAGAGACCCCTTCAAGAAGTGACGTGAAAGCTCGTGAGGATCCCCGACACTCCGAAACGATAGGAATTTCGAGTTTGCGAGTGTCAAGTCAAGTCGGTAGACGTGTTGCCTCGTTAGACGGGAATATATTCCGAGTTTGCACAAGGTTTCCTCGCTCCTGCAGCGCCAACGGTACAATATTGGAGGCAGTTCCCGGACGGAACTGTGTCAGATGAGCTTACGCTAAGATTACTTCGGTGCCGCCCTCAATACCTGATCGCTCAATGCTCTCGAAGAAAAGGGCGACAGTAACGCCTTGAAGGATGTGCACACAGTCTCTCTCGACCAATTCCTATTCTTACTTGTTCACAGACCACGCAAGATTAGGGGCGGAATCCGCCAACGATGACACGTTCTTGTGCATACCCTCACCCAAACCCTACAACGCGGAAGGTTCACCGCGATATCTGCCGACAACGACGGGCTTGACAACTCCATCAACCTGCTTGACGCCGAGACCAAGGAGCTGACGGTCGTCGGAGATGTGAGCTTCGCCGCGCGGTCGCCTGCACCGTTGTCGTTGTCGTCGTCGTCGTTATTGTTGTTGTTGTTGTTGTTGATGGTGACAATTTTGTCACTGGTTAGTGTTGCCGTTGGGACGTTTCGCGGCCGTCTTTTATCTGACGACGCCACCACCCCAGCTCAAACACGGTAGCCCTCTATTGTTTCCCTAACCCAACCAACCTCTTGCCCTTGCGCTCTCTGTCTCCATCTTATATCCCAGGTCTTCGTGTCGAAATATGCCGATCTCCAGCACTGTCTGAAAGAGCAAACGGTGTCGACACAGGCCGCCGACGCCAGCTCTGACAGCTCTGACAGCTCTGACAGCTCTGACAGCTCTGACAGCCCTGACACCTCTGACAGTGACGACAGTGACGACAGCTATGACAGCTCTGACAGCTCTGGCAGCTCTGATAGCTCTGACAGCTCTGGCAGCTCTGACAGCTCTGGCAGCTCTGACAGCTCTGACAGCTCTGGCAGCTCTGACAGCTCTGGCAGCTCTGATAGCTCTGATAGCTCTGACAGTAGCAACAGCTCTGAAAGCGACGATAGCTCTGACAGCTCTGACAGCGGCGACAGCGGCGACAGCGCTGATGATGCGCCTTCCGCTACGCCGGAGGTTGCCACCCCGACGCCCGTGGAGCCGGCTGACTCTGGTTCTGGCGATTCGGATTCCTCCGACGAATACAGTGGAGACTCCGATTCTGATTCTTACGAAGACAGTGAGGAGTCTGATTCAGATTCAGATTCAGATTCAGATTCCAGCTCCGACTCCGACTCCATATCGAGTTCCGATTCCGATTCTGAATCCGATTCCGCCGAGAGTGGCGATAGCAGCAGCGACGATGAAAACGAACCTGAAGGAAACCCGGGGATTGTTTTGGTCGGTGAGAAAGATCAGGGTATCTGTTTATCTCGCTGTACATTGGGTAGCCTTCGTGATTCCCGACGGGGATGCGTTGGCGTAAATGTGGTGTCTGCACGAGCAGATGGGAGAGGCCGATGTCGTAGACGACGTACACGACCATGTAGACGACGACGAAGGCTACCCAGGAGGTTAGCCTGCATTCTATCCCGCGAACCCAAACTCCCGTCCCTTCTCGACCGTTCTAGGCGGAGAGACACGAGCAGACTTGGATGTAGATCCCCTCGCAACCGTGATCACGAACGCGGTCATTGCGAACGTTGGCGGGGCTGGGTACTACGACGATGTGGTGGACATGATCGACGGGGAGAACATGAACTGCCCATCGTATGACGATGCTTGTGTCAAAGAGGTAAGCGTAACCTTCTGGAACGACACTCTGCAACGGAAAAACTTTACGCGGAAGGTTGATGCCGCATACGCTTCGCGGGTTGGGGCGAAAATGCCCGATTCGTCCGTCGAGGAGCAACACGAATCGAAAGGTTGCGGCTCCTGTCGTCCATCTGTGGTGCTGAATGTGCACCGTCGCAACTTCTGCTGTGCGTTCACCCCAAGTTGTTGCGTAAAGCGAGGGCGGGTCCTGTTTTTCGAGCTGCAGAATATCGATGCCTGGATCGCCTTCGCAACCATGAGCCACGAGAACCTGTCCTAAAGAAGATGCTGTCCTCGATATCGCCTTTGCACGCATGTCAGGAAGTGTGCGTGAACGGCGGCCTGGCTCCTTTCGACGAAGTGTCTGTGTCCTTCCGGGGACCCATGAACCTATACAACATCGCCTGGTTCGAAGGCACCGCGGACGGAACTCTAGAGCGTACCACCTCCTGGACTCCGGGGTAAGTCGAGGCTGTAGTCGCAGAGGGAACCGTCTATTTGGAAAAGTGTTCCAAGCAAACGAATGACGGAGGCACGCGTGTATTGTCTGGAGTTGGGCGCTTGGACATAAGTCTCCATAACTCAGTGCACACGGCGAAGCTCGGTTCAGGGAGTTTGGTCTTGTGAAGTGCAGAGCAAATGTTTCGATTGGGCTCTATCAACAAGCCGGGGGTGCTTCCATGATGTCGGGCCTCCTCTCGAGACGCCCTCCTCGCCTCGTGTGGCATGGCATCGAGAAACATCTCGCCGTTGCTTCACGCATCCGTAGATAATTGGTAAGAATAAAACGTAGAACTCATCCCGGGCCTACAATACGAAGGCGATCATGTCGGAACGCATGTGTTCGACCGAGAATGCCACCTCCCAACTCACTCCAATACAGTGGACATCTACTTCAATGGGAATCCGCCGATGTCGGTGATCCCAGGGATAATGGCAAGCAGAGCTAGGTACACAAAAGAGAGGAAAGACACACATGAAATCAGCCGCACTCCTAAAGCAATCGTCCATTTGATGGCATGAGCATGCCCCTCCCCGCCCACCCGACTAGCTCACGCGACGCCTGTTGACACCTGTTACGGGGACGCACTTACTTGCAGTGAGCTCGGAGACAACATCGCTTTCATGAACAATCGAGGTGGACTGTCTGACTGCTCCGGCGAGTGGAGTATCTGTGGCGGAAACAGCCAGAGCTTCGCGGACGCCACGGTGAGGTGTTGTCCTCCTTTGATGAGTGTCGCCAAACCCCAAACGATCCTATCATACAAGGTATCGTAGGGGTACGATGTCTATCAGACAGGGCATTTCTGTCAGACGGTTAACGGCAGAGTGTGATTGCATGGATGGGTGTGTGTGGGCGCCTTGCAGCAAAACAACGTTATATTACCAACAACTTGTTTTGGAAGAGGTGCATAGGCTACTCCTTCCGATAGAAGTACGACGCGAAATACTCCGAAAGCACGAGGAGAAAAAAAATGAATCGGCCGTGAGCTTCTTCGCAGTACCGTCTAGCCCCTTGACAGGCTCAGACATGTTCTTGGCCGGGGGTCCGGGTTTGAGGAGAAACGTCAGCAATACTAGAACGGCTCACGCCTGCGGGCACATATCTACTGTAGCACTTGACGTCGTCTTACAGTCATCCTTGGAGCGTTGTTTGTGCCGTGAAGTTTCGTTCCACTTATTCTGCGCGCCAGCGTGCACCCGTCGAGAGGTAGTTAAGCCCACAACCTAGACTCCGAAGGCTATATGAGGGTACCCGCTGAACCATCGGGGCAACCGGCCCAAATTCTAAGGGCAAATCTCTCGGAATCACCCGCGAGGCCCCAAACACGAAGCTATGCATACAGCAGGATAGTACAGGAGTAATGCCCGTTTTTTTAATGGGGTTTTGTTGGTGAAACGGGCTGTTGTGGTTGAGTGCAAATCCTTGACCTACTCAAGTTCCCTCGTGTGTGACAGGGGACTTACTGCGCTGCTGGGAGCACGCCCTTCGATGGAAACCTCCCCGACGACAACGAGATAAACATCATGACGCAGTGGGAGTGCGCCTCCCAGGAGCAATGCGGGTAAACAATGACACGGACCGATCGTCGGCAACAGAAACGTGGCCATGCGATAGGCGCCCAAAGAATCTATGTATGTAGCAATCGCGTTCTCCTCAATTCATTAGGATTGTGGGGAGAATACCCCGCATAATGCCTACAAGGAGAGTGCGACGATATTAAGCGGAACATTTGGGAGTCCGTTGGGAGGAGCCAGTAAGGCGCGAGGACCGCGAAAAGGAACATCCATGGAACCCCCTTCTGTGTGGTACTTTCCATCGAAACCCACGGACATGTGAACGACGAGGGCTTCCAGACACTCATGCTATGGGCCGGAGGTTGATGTTTATCGTCTTGACCACCAAGAGAACAAGCAAGCCTACCCAAGGCAGTGTTGTAATGGACTGAATGTGGCGTTTACCGTCAGATCAAATGTTTGCAAACCTCGTACTGCCAAGAAGCGTGATATTTTGCATGTTCGCGCCTTGTTCCTGTTTCCACCTGCTTTCCCTCGTGTCTTGTTCTTGTATTGAATACGATCTCCGCTCCGGACAAAACAAAACCCGGGGAAAAGATTCTACCGTCACACCGGCATGCGTGGTTGGACGGGAGGAAAAGACGGCACCAAAGTCATGATATTCGAGCTGGACATGCCGCACTGTGAGGAGGAGACCTGCAACTGGAATCGGCCCGCCGTGTGGGCCTTGAACGCCAGGGTACGTCGGGTCGGGTCCGCTGATCGAAGCACGAAAATTGCGTATTGAGACGCCGCAGTTTTGTCCACGACGTACGTACATGGTACAAGGACGCGACGGCAGTCTTTCTTGTCGCATTCCGCGGTGCAAGTACCCCGAGTTGACGCGGCGCTGTGTCCAGGGGTGCAATGGCTCATGAAGCATCCCTTGTTTCTATGCGGTGGCGGCACGGTAGAAAGTATCGCTACCCAAGACCACCACCCGGACGCTAGAAACCCAATCAGGGCGTTCTCATTCACTTCTTCCTCGCATTTCGGTGAATCTTCTGTCTATTTCAGATTCTGCGAACCGCGCAGTATGGGTGCAACTGCCGTGGCGCGGGAGGAAATGGTGGCTGCGGAGAGTTCGACATCATAGAGGGTATCGTCGGCAACAAGTACAGTGATATGCTTTTCACGACGGTACGACGGTGTTGCTAATGCCAACAGACGCCTCCTTTCGCTACCTTTCGCTTTAGGTTTCTGGATTCTTTTTGAGAAAAAGCAACCATCGCCGCCCACAGTACCTTGAGGGATTGGCCTTGGTATCACCTATCTATAGGTGGTTCGCTCGGTCCTTGGTTTTTTGAAGGCATTGCACAGGCTGGGGCATCCAGTTGGGACTCCTATTTACTGGTTGGAATGTACTCCGAGAATTTGTGAATGTCATGTTTACACCCCGCCAGCAGATATATCGATCGTGGCAACACCGACCGTGTGAGAACATGAAAAATATTTAATGAGTGGTTCAACCCGGCATCACTGAGATTTGCCAACCCCAAATCCCTCAGAATATGTATTTTGTGCCCGGTGAGCTTCTGTGGGATACTGCCACAACGTACCGCTGCCGTTGATTGCTTGGAACGAATCCCTGGCATCACTAAACCATACCCAGCGTTCGGTCTACTTTTCATAAGCGTTAGTACACCGACATCTACTTCTTCCCCTATTTTCACAAAGGTTTATGACTTCAAGGGAGCCGGCAGCCCAGGAACTTCCAGATACTTTGAGCGCCCTTCGGTGAGCTTTTGCAGATTCCTACTTTGTACCTGAAACTCCTTCACCCGCGTCGTATCTTTTCCTGTTTAACTTTGTCAAAGCTCGTCGTCAGGCGACGTGTATTCCGGGCATTGCTGAGTTTGTTGAGATTGGCGTGTTGAAACCCTCCATCCTCATAGATGTATGCATAGCCCCCCCCCCCCCCCCCCTTGGGCCTTCCTAAAAGGGGGGGGGGGCCAGGGGAAAAAAACTCCCGGAAAGAAAAAAAGGGGTCCCCCCCCCCCCCCCCCCCCTATGGACCATTTAGGCCGCG